AATGTGTTTTGCTAACAAATAGAAATATATCTGAAATTTTATATTGATCTTTTATTCTATGGTATCTCTGAAATCATTTACTTTTCTAGAATTTTTGTAAATTTCCTATTTTTTATGTATACAATAATGCCCACTCTTTTTAATAACAAAAGTTTTAATTTTTCTTCAATCTTTATGCTTTTTACTCCTTTTTCTTGCCTTATTGTATTTACTAGGACCTCCAGAAAAATTTCAAATAGAAAAAGTGAGAGAGAATATATTTACCTTATTCCTGGTATTTGAACATTTTACTCTGAAGTATGGTGTTAACTATAGTTGTTCTATAGCTGTCTTCCATCTAATTAAGTCTTCTTTGTAGTCTAAAGTTTTGAGAGTTTCTCTTTTGAACAGGCAGTCAATAATGGCAAATGAATTTCTGGATCTTTTCATATGAGTGTATATTTTTCTGTTTTTATATCCATTAATGTGTTGAATTGCATTAATTAATTTTTGAGTGTTAAACCAACTTTACCTTTTTTGGGATAAATTGCACTTGGATATTATATATTATCCCTTTTTTATATTGCTGGGTTTGATTTGTTAAAATTTTGTGGAGACTGTGTAAATCTATGGTCATGAAAAAGAATGACCAGCGACTTTCTTTTCTTGTTTTATGGTTTTATTTTTACATTAAATATTTGATAGAATTCATCAGCATAACAGTCAAGATTTAGAGGTTTATTTTATTTTATTTTGTGTGTGTGCAAAGATTTTTATTACAAATTTAATTTCTTCAATAAATATGAGGTACTCAGATTTTTTATTTCTGCTTGTGTCAATTTTGGTAGGATGTGTTTTTCAGGAATGTGTCCAGTTCATCTAAGTTGTCTCTGCTGTTGGCATAATGTTGTTCATAACAGCTCATTATTAATCTTTAAGTGTATATAAAACCTCAACAAGGAGCACAGTATTATTTCTATTGGTTATTTCTTACTTTGTCTGTCAGTCTGTCTGTCTGTCTCTTTTTCCGTCTCTTTTACCGTCTCTTTATTCATTTTTGCTATAGGCTAATCAATATTATTAATCTTTCAAAAAACTAGCTTTTGACTTCGTTAATTTTCAATATTGTTTGCCTGTTTTCTATATGATTGATTTCTGCTCTTATTTTGATGATTTCTTTTGCTTTACTTACTTTGGATTTAATTTGCTTCTCCTTTTTCAATTTCTTAATGATGGACTTAAATAATTGATTTTACATCTTTCTTAATTTGCAATATAAGCATTTAAAGCTATAATTTTCCCTCTAAGCACTACTTTTACTACATCCAACAAGTTTTGATATATTGTGCTTTCATTATTATTCAATCCAAAATATTTTCTAGTTTTTACCTGTGATTTATTTTTGGACCCACTGCTTATATAAAGTTGTGTTGATAAATTCCCAAATACTTGGGATTTTTTTTTTTTTTTT